AAATGGTAAGAACTTCAGAGTAGTGTCCAGTCCAAGACACAGATCTGCGCCTGCCGAGGAGATCTAACAAAATGGTTGAGCTAAATCCTCAGTGAATGGTCTCCACATAGAAACTGGCAGATCACAATGAAGTGCTTTGCCCAGAGCCTGCTCAAGTCCTAATCTATTTCTGGATATTAGAATATTTCAGTGGATAAGCATATGTTTATTCCGGAGGAGGGAAAAATAATCCCTTGAAGTGAATGAAAGAGATTCTTCACATAACACTGTTGCCGTGTTTCACACATTAAATCTGCATAGACTTTAGCAGTCTACAGTCACTTTGCTCACCATACTACAGGACAAAGCAAAGTCTGAACCCCAAACACACACTCTCTACAACATCAAATCTCACAAACCGATCACTATCTATTCCCCTATCGCATGCACATTTAAGTGACACTAAACTCAGGAGTTAAATCTTAAAAATCCATTCAATTACCTTAACTATTAACAAAAGTATAACTTATTTGTGTATAACTCAGCTGTAGATCCTCAAATCTCATCTCTGAATTGGTGCGGACACTGTCCTTCCTTCTGGAGGGTGGCTACATTTGTTCCCCATGGTCCCTGAGTGTGTTGTAAAGTAGTCACCGCTCCAAGGTCACTCCAGTGATGGACTACAATCTCACATGTAGTTGTGCTAATTTGTACTGAGATTGTAGTCCATCACGGGAGTGAGCTTGGAGCGGTGACTACTTTACAACACACACACAGGGACCATGGGGAACAAATGTAGCCCCCCTCCACAAGAAAGGACAGTGTCAGCACCAATTCAGAGATGATTTGAGGATCTACAGCTGAGTGATACGCAAATAAGATTCATTTTTGTTAACAGTTACGGTAATTTAATGCATTTTTAAGGTTTAACGTCTGAGCTTAATGTCACCACAGCTTGAATTACGGTATATCCCTGCTAAATCGACTAAAATTTAAGCTGGTGGGGTTCATGTCGACTTCATGCGATTTGACAAAATTAGATTTTTCAATTGACTTTTGCTGAAGGAGTGGGGTAGAAAACTATCGACTGAATAGTGCCTTCATCCAAACAGATGAAGGAACTGTTCTGGTATTTAGCAGCCAGGAGAGTAGTGGCTGCTGAATACAATAGACAGCAGTAGGGATTTCTCTATCCACACTGTATAGCATAGAATCAACTGTCTCTTTCAGCCCACATAAATCTAAACAGTGCCAGCTTTAGTCACCAGCCCATACAATCTGCTCTGATGATTGTCTTGCTTTGCATCTTCAAGCTTTCTCATGAAAAAAGTCAACATTTAAAAACTTGCACACAGTCCACAGCCCACAGCCTTCCACTTTGAATGACAGCTAGAGGCACTTAGACCACGATCATTGACCCATCTGGACAGCGACTATTAGTGCATTGCACTGAGTGCTCATTCACCTCTGCTTCAATTTATGTATGTATACATGTACAGTCATGGCCAAAAAAAACCCAAAAACATTATATATATTAGAAAGGTCAGAATTTCTAACAGAGTCTTTACTGCTGTCTGTGCCTTCCAATTGCAGTGAAACACCTTCCATTCATTTTACAAGTTTCAAAGGGAGAGGAAATTGTTCCTAAGTGGACACAGGCAGAAGGGTTTGACTCTTACCCACTATAAAAAAAAAAGTTTTGGCTGTAGATGGGCCTTAGAGAACTATGGGGTCAGTGTTTTTCCCCATAGTTCTCCTTAGGGTAACGGGAGGACACAAACTAGCGTCCTCCCGTTACCCTAAGCTCAGTATACCGCGAGCTACAGCTCGCGGTATACTGAGACGCCGGAGTGGATGCCGACGTAGATGACGGGATCCGCCCAGCTGCGTGAGTGACAGCTGGCTCTGCCTATCTAGAGGCAGAGCCAGCTGTACCCGCCCCCTCCCGTTCCGCCAGTCAGCGCTGGCAGATCGGAGCGGGGAGAGGGGAATCCAGCCCCTCCCCCTGTCACGGCAGAGAGCCGTGACAGGATCGAGAGGTGAGGGAACCCGGTATGTGTTCTCTCACCTCCCGATCTACTGAGCCGACCTGTGACAGTCTCATTGTCACAGGTCGGCTTAGAACTATGAGGTTAGTAGAAATCACTCATCTCATAGTTCTCCTTTAAGAAATTAAAATGACAGGAGAAACAATAAGGAATGTGTCTTAAGAAACTGAAGGAAATGCACTGATGAACTTTTGAGGTCCTAATGAATTATCAGAGCCAGCTTTATTTCAGTCATGAACTTTGAAGTTAATTATTCTGCCAGCAATAAAACGAGTGCCATGATCCATGATGAAGTCATGTTTGTGACGCATAATCGTGTGGACACAGCTTGCCTATGTTAGCTTTTGGAAGGCCATGAAGGGCTTGGTGCAATAATAAATGTGCCTTATGCAAGTCAATGTACTGTACGGCTACATCTTGCAATGAAGAATTTTCATTAGGATGATCCTGAATGAGTTGCAATAGCCATTTGTGCTCCAGCTATGAACTTTCATTCTATATTTATGATGCTGCCAGTAGATACTCTTTCAAATTTAATGTTCACAAAGGAAAGGATGCAGCAAATAATCACATATTAAATATGAAGTAAATCCAGTATAAAATGTATCCTTTTCTCCAACTGAATGTACTCCTTAAATTCTGTAAACCTGCCCAGGGCAACATGGTCAGAGGAGGCATCAGATCACATATTTAACGTGAATAACTGCATATCCTTTAGTTTTACTTTGGGCCATCTGGCTACATTTGGCTGTGGTAAGTAAACCAAAAAGGTAGCACTAAAGGGAGAGGAGGGGGAAGGCTGCCAAGAGTCGACACTTTTTGTAGAGCTTAGTTTAGCCATCTCTTCTTTACCTAAAAGATAATTTAGTGGGACGGTAC